GGGAGGGAGGGAAAGAAGATTCAGCTAAGACGTTTGATTGTTATCACCTTAACTTCCTGAAAATTCATCCACTTCTCTGATGAGACCGCAACCTGAAGAAAATGAGTGGATGATGATTGAGCAATGGTGAAAGAGGAGGAGGAGGAGGAGGAGGAGGAGGAGGAAGAGGAAGAAAAGAAAGAGGGAGAGAAAGTGGGGAAAACTTGGTCAACCTGCTTAAACAATTGATCGTTGAGCATCTTTTTCTTGTCATGGACCACAAGCTGAGAAGGAACACCGAATTCAGTCCAGGACAAGGATGGAACGATAGAAAGGGGGAAAATGCGCAGAGGGTTGAGAAGGAAGTGGAGGAAGAAGGGATCAGGCGAAGGAGCAGGAGCAGGAGCAGGAGCAGGAGCAGCAAGAGCAGGAGCAGCAAGAGGAGCAGGAGCAGGAGCAGGAGCAGGAGCAGGAGCAGCAAGAGCAGGAGCAGGAGCAGGAGCAGGAGCAGGAGCAGGAGAGACCCACTGCTTGAGTCTGGAAAATTGCGCAGGTTCGCGCGAGACCCGCCAGGTTCGGCATCTTCTCTATGAGAGACGCGACGACGACAAGCTCGCACGTCCTCCTCCTCCACTTTCTCTCGCCGAAGCCCTCGGTCACCCCCGCCGCCTCCTCCCCTGCGTGCTGCTTCCCTCGCTGAAGTAGATGAGCCCCGTCAGGTCAACGAGCACGGTTTGAGAAGAGCAGAAGCAGAATCAGGAGCATGAACAGAAGCAAGGGGGAACAGGAGAAGCAGCAGGAGAAGCAGCAGCAGGAGAAGCAGCAGCAGGAGAAGCAGCAGCAGGAGAAGCAGCAGCAGCAGCAGCAGCAGCAGCAGCAGCAGCAGCAACAGCAGCAGCAGCAGCAGCAGCAGCAGCAGCAGCAGCAGCAGCAGCAGCAGCAGCAGCAGCAGCAGCAGCAGCAGCAGCAGCAGCAGCAGCAGCAGCAGCAGCACATGGCGGAGCAATTGAAACTTCTCACCTGCCCTCCTGCTCGGCCTGCAATGTCAAGCTCGGGCTGATACTTCCGCTGCATCCAGTTGCTCGCTACGTCTCCCTCCTCTTCATTGCTCACCTAAAGAACATTGAGGAACCAACACAAGCCGAAAAATGGAGGAGAAGAGAAGAGGAAAGAGGAGAGGAGGAGAAGAGGAGAGGAGAAGAGAGGAGGAGAAGAGGAGACGAGGAGACGAGGAGTAGAAGAGGAGACGAGGAGAGTAGGAGACGAGGAGACGAGGAGATGAGGGGAGCGGGGACACGAGGAGAGGAGGAGGAGGGAACAACCATGAGGTCACGTTCGGGCTCCTCCTTGGCAGCTTTCATGGCCCTGTGATATTCCCCCATCTCTCGCTCAATCGCCTGAACATCATAAATTTAGAAAGCAAGCAGCAGCAGGGGCAGCAGCAGCAGGAAGAGGGCAGGAGCAGGAGCAGGGGCAGCAACAGAAGCAGCAGCAGCAGGAAGAGGGCAGGAGCAGGAGCAGCAGCAGCAGCAACAGAAGCAGCAGCAGCAGGAAGAGGGCAGGAGCAGGAGCAGGAGCAGGAGGAGGAGGAGGAGCAGCAGGAACAGGGGCAGAGGTTTCAAACTTCAACCTGCACGAGGCCGTCGGGTATCTTCTCGCCGAGAGCTTCGCCGTCGCCGATCACGGGAGTGAACACCTGGGGACTTTGACTAGTTTGACAAGCAGTTTGCGGCGCCTCACCGTGTCATGGCTGGCAAGGACGGAGACATCGAGCTGGGAGAAGAAGAGACGGTCGATGTGGCTGAGCATGCGACTTGTCTCCTCGTTCTCCTGCATAAACAGCATCGTCGCCTCTGCCAGCAGCTCTTCCCCCTTTCTCAAGCTGACGGCACTGGTCGAGCTTCGAAACCTCTTGAGGGCCAGGCAGGCGAGGACGCGGATGTGGTGGGTGTGGTGGCTGCACCAGGGGAGCAGGTGGCGTACGAGCTCGACTATAGTCTCCTCAATCTCTTCTCCCCGCAGCAGGAGCAGTGAAGATTCGACCTCCTCCCTCTCTGCTCCCTCCGCTCCTCCTCGCACAGCTGCGGTGTCGATGTAGCTGCGGATGGCGAAGTTGGAGATGATCATCAGAGAGGAGGCGAGAGGAACATCGGCGTTGAACTCGCGGAGGAGCGGGAGCAGGAGAGTAGCCAGGAGGCTCGGCTGCCGGCACATGCAGCAGAACATCGAGAGCTCCATATAGTAGCGCACAGACTTCCTCTCGTCCTTCCTCAAGCACTCTACCAGCATCCCAGCTGTCCTCTCAGCTTCTGCTGGGGTCAGGAGGGGGACGAGGACGGTCACGGCCTGCCACAACCTGCACTTGAGGCGATGAGGAGCTGAGAATGGGAGGTACGAAGCGACGTCCAGCTCCGGCAGCCTGTTGTTTCCCAGCAGCTCCTCCACCACCTTCGCCAGCCCAGCATGGGCAGATGCAGGAGGGAGCCGAGACATGGTGCGGGTGACAAGAACGCGCACGAACGTCTCCCTCCCCTGCAACAGGCCCAGCTCCTCCTCCTGCTCCTCCTCCTGCTGACCCCCGAGCTCGTCCCGGAGCAGATCATCCAGCTGGACGTCGGCGATGGAGTCGGAGATCTCTGATATGCCGTAGAGGCAGAGCCGAGCCGCCTCCTCAGCGTAGGGGAGGAGGGAGGAGGGGAACTTCCTCCAGAGTCTGCATGTAAAGATCGCGAAGAGCTTCGTGGCCCTAACCGAGTCTCCCAGCTCCTTTCCCAGCTGAAGGAACGCCTCCTTCACAGTGCCCCCTTTGCTATGGACGGAGGAGACAGCCCAGATCCGAGGGTGCAGGGCGACCTGCATGAAGGCAACCAGGACGTCCTGGGCAGGGAGCATGCGAGACCTGCCAGCACTGTGCTGCCTCCTCTTCTTGCTCGACTGGTAGTCGTCAATCACCGCCCAGGCTCTGCTCAGCACCTCTGCATGTAGCACAGCGTCGATGTCCGCGTCCTCCAGCTCAAGGATCTTCTTCCCTCCTCCTCCCCCTCCTCCTCCTGATTCCTGCTCCCTCGGGGGCCTCGAGCACCCGCTGCCCATGACGGCGTCAGGGAGGAGGAGGGAGATCACGCGGAGGAGAGGCTCTGCGCAGTCGTTGTTCACAGCCTCCTTGGCTTCCTCCAGGCAGAACAGCAGGAGGTCCTTACAACGTTCCTCCTGCCCCAGGCTCGCCCACCCCCGGTTTGTCCTCTTTACGTAGATAGGGAAGGACCATTCGGGCTCCCCTTGCCCTCTCTGAAGGACGGAGAGGCATTCGTACATGCAAGAGAAGAACTGAGGACGAAGAAAGCGCTGCACGTGCCTGTCGCCTCCTCCTCTTCCTCCTCCACCTGTACGGAGCTCGTCGCACAGCTCTCGCATCTTCATCATCGTCCTCCATATCTCTTCCTCCGCTCTCTTCGCATGCCCGACAACAGCTCGCAGCACCCTAGCAGCCATCATAATAACCCCGCGATGCCTCGTCCTCGTGAGCTGCAGCTGCAGCAGCGAACAAGATGCATGCAGGAGCTTGTCGCTAGCCTCCTCTGTCTCCTTCCTCATCCCCTCCTGCTCGCTCGCCTCCTCCAAGAACTCGATTGCGATCTCAAGGCGAGCAAAGACATCCAGGAAACTCTCCTCCGCCTCCTCTTTTTCCTCCTCCTTTGCTGATTGTTGGAGCTGACGGATGATGGAGTCGCAGGAGAACCGCACCGCCTCCTTCCCGTCTTCTGCTGTAAGAGCAGACAACACTGGTTGCTTCAGCTTCGTCCTTTCCCCATGTGGTACCTTGAGGAGGGTCGATATCGATCTCATCAGGCGCAGCAGCTCAGTCGCAAGCACCATGGCACGCTGCTCGCTCGAGCGGGGGAGATAGGCATGCGAACTGAGAGAGGATAGGCGGGAGGAGAGAGCGAGGAGGAGGAGAGGGCTGTTGCTACAAGAGGCTTCTAGGAGAAGCATCTTGGCGAGGCTCTTGCTCTGCGTCCTGATGTTGACACAGTCCTGGGCGTCAGGTTGCGAGGAGGAAGGAGAAGACTGAGGGTTTTCGATCAAGAGAAAGCTGTTCAAGCTCTTTCCCAGTTGCTCCGTGAACCATCTTCCTCCTCCTGCTCCTCCTGCTCCTCCTGCTCCTCCCTTCTTCCCTTCCTCGCTACTAGCAGCCCCAGCCTGCTCAAACCGCCTGCTGAGAAGGAGGAGGAGGAGGAGGTTCTCTCCGGAGAAGATAAGGGAGTCCGGCATGGCGCCTACGATACCAGCAAAGTCGTCAACGTTCAGTCCCTCCCCGAAGGAGCAGCGAGGGAGGAGGCGGAGCAGCGATAAGTGCAGCGTCGCCTGGAGGGGTGTGCTCCTGCATGAGCGATCGACGATGGAGAGGATGGCGATAATGTGCTTGACTGCAGTGGCGCTGAACCGGAGCAGGACAGCCTGTCCTCCTGTTCCTGTTCCTGCTCCTGTTCCTGCTCCTGCTCCTGCTCCTGCTCCTGCTCCTGCTCCTGCTCCTGCTCCTGCTCCTGCTCCTGCTCCTGCTTCTGCTTCTGCTCCTGCTCCTGCTCCTGCTCCTGCCTCGTCTCCGTGCGGCAGCCCCGTGGCTATCGCAGAGAGGGAGGCAATAAAGAGCAGGATGCTCCTTGGGGCCTTGGCAGTGTCCCGCAGAGCAAGTAGAAGCCTTTCAAGCGCCTCCTCCCTCTCGCGCTCCTCTTTGCACTGGAGGTAGTTGAAGATGATGATGGCATAGCCTTCAGCAGCTGTCGCTGGTACTCCCTCCTCCTCCTGGCCATCCTCTTTCGTCCTACTTCCGTTTTCATGACCACTTGCTGCTTCTGCTGCTCCTCCTCCTGCTCCCCCTCCTGCTTCTTCTCCCTGCCTAACTCCTCTCAGGATTTGGCTGAGCACTTTGGTCTCGATCGGGCTTTCCAGCTGATCTGCGCGCAGTCCAGCTCCCTTGAGGAAAGGAGCGTCGTCTACAACAGGCAGCAGCACCCGCTCCATGAAGTCCCTGCTCACCCATCGGAAGACATAGGAGGAAGAGGAGGAGGACAGTCGCCGTATCGCCTCCCTCCGGAACGGCTGGTTCCTGTGGTGAAGGGCAGAAGAAAAGAGAGCCTCTAGCCAAGCGACCTGCTGCGGGGCCCTCGCGTCCTCGGGGGAGGGAAGGAGGAGGAGGAGGCTGTCCCAGAGCCCGGAGAGCAGGTGTACTGCGCTGTTCTCCGCCGAGTCCAGCATGGCCAGAAACAGCCGCCATCTCCTCGCATCCCAACCGGTGACCCGCTCAAGGAGGAAAGTCTGCGCTTGAGCTTCCTCCTCCTCCCCTCCCTCCAGGGGGAGCAGGAGGGTGAGCAGGTACTGAGCTCGCTTCCTCACGGTGGGGCTGGAGTGACACACTGACTTTCGGATGTGGTGGAGGAGGAGGAGCGTTTCCGGCTCCTCCTCCCCCATGCTCCGCGCTGGCCCGGGCATCCTGCACAGCAGGAAGAGCGCCAGGTCGTCCTTGCCGGCAGAAAAGCAGGAGAGTGCGGCATGTAGTGTCTCGGCGTGCAGGCAGGAAGCAATGTCCACGTGCTCGCTCCATAGGTAGAAGGAGGGGAGGAGGTGGTTGATAGCTGCGTGCGAGAACGATGCCTCTCCCTCTTGGATCACTTCGAAGAGAGTTCTCAGCAGGTTGAGCAGGACCCCAGCAGCATCCTCCCTCCTCTCAAGACTGTTGATGAAGACCGATGTCGACTCGCAACAGGTTGATATCGATATCCTCCGCTCCTCCTCCTCCTCCTCTTCGTGTCTGCCGCGTCGTCCTTCATTCTTCCACCTGTGGAAACTCTTGATATGCTTGCAGCAAAGATCATGAACTCTGCCCCTGTGCTGCTCTGCCATCCCCCTGACAAGATCGCATGCTACTGACTGGCACAATCGGTTGTCAGACAGCAGGAGGCGGCTGAGAACATGGTCGATGAAGTCTTCCCCAAGTCTCGCCGGGTCCTGGGAAGAGGCGAGGAGGGTGTGGCATATGTACGCGCAGATACAGAGCAAGACCACGTCGCGATCTCCTTCCTCCTCCTCTCGAAACTTGTTGGAGAACAGATGGTACACTGCGTCTCCTGGCATATCGCATGTTAGGCTGGACGAAGAACATGGCGTGTAGGGGGATGGGGGGGAAGAAGGAGGAGATGCACGGGGAGAGTAAGCAAGAAAGGGAGAGGGGAAAATCTCAATCACAATCAGAACTATGATCTTTGTCATCGTCGTTCCCTTAGTCTTCTTGCAACAAGACCACCAACAAAATCATCGCTACCGCCTTCACCATCGTCCTCATCATAATCATAATCATCCTCATCTTCCTCCTCCTCTTCCTCCTCCTCCTCCTCATCATCATCATCATCATTTGCCATCGTCCACATCATAACACAATTCATCTCTTTCATGCCACTCAATCCCGCAAGGTCGCAAGAGGGAAGGAGCGCCACCTGTACCCTCTCCTCCCATGGCAGCGGTCGCAACGGAGTAGGCGCAGACCTTGACATGTGCTGAGTCCCATGACCTGCTGCTGCTGCTGGACGTGACTATAGCTGACTTGAGGCTGTCAAACGCCCTCAGAGCTGTTTGGCTCCTCGGATACTCCCTCATTATGTTAGAGCCCTCGCCGTCCCGACGGGTTTACACTCAAAGAGATGATGGCGGAGGGACTTTTTGACGAGGATGCTCCCTCTTCACCTCTGTTCGAGAAGGATTCTTCCTCCACCTCTCACTTACCATATGTGTACACGCCCCTCGCTCCTCCTCCTCCCGCTCCTCCTCCTCCTCCTCCTCCTCCTCTCCGCACGTGCAGCCTCCCCGACATGGCCGGCGCGGCCCCGGGGCGGGCCCGCCGGGGAGACACCGTACCGTACTTTGAGTAACTTAGTAAAGTTTCAGTCTGACCGTACCGTGCCGTGCCGGGTGACTGCCACTGCCACTCAGGCTCGGATCGGACCGGCCCGATCCGATGATCAGCCTAGCACTCAACTCAGTGACTGGCAGTCACCGAGTGGGCGAGACTCGTGACATTGGCCCCCCAGTGCCCCCGCCGCGGCCCGGGGGTCACTGACTCGGACGCCATGGACATGGCCCAGCCAGGCCCGCCGCGCGGCCAAAAGACTCAGCGGCGCCGGGCCGGACTCGGGAACAACTTCCGGGGCCCGGCGGGGGTTCCGAACTCGGAAGCCTTAAGTTCGGCCGCCGGACGGCGGGAGTCACAGCAGGCGGCTCAGCGCTGCCCGGCCTGAACCCGAAAACTGAGACGCCGCCCGGCGTACTGGATCCTGGGCGGGCTGGCGGCACGAGCCTGGACATCGGAGGATCGGACCGTACACACTGTGGCATCGGCGGCGGATCGGGTCACCAGGCCCGGCAAGTTCTCCAGGCTCGAGTCAGTGTCGTGACGGCCCGCCGTGTCACGTCAGTGGACTCGGGACCGGGACGCCGCTGCGGGGGAGGGCCGGACCCGGCCCGCGCCGCCGGGGTCGTCGGTACTTACTTGAAGGATCATACCGTAGTCACTTGGACCGCCGTGCGGCGTATTCGAGTCACCAGTGCGCGGCCATCGCCGTGATCGCTACTATTGATCAGTTATCACAGTACTACGGATCCCGGGCCGGAGTACGCCGGGTCCGTCATCCGTCATCTGCTGGGAAATTCAACCGTAAACTTCAATGACAACACGGTGAAAACACGGTCGAGTGTTCAAGTGGCGTGTGAGTATACAATACGCCGTACGTACCGTCCGATCGACCCCGCGTGTCACAGTCACGGTTGAACTGAATTTCAGCGAATCACCGTCAACTTAACTTTGAGTACAGTCAGTTGAGCGGCGGCCCGGCCCGGCGGGGCCGGGCGCCCGGGGGAGTCACTGTGAGCCCGGCCCCCGGCCCAGTGCTACGGCCCGCCACTGCGGCACTGCGCGGCACGCCGGTAACTAGGCTCTAAACTGAGCCCGGTCCGATCCGCCCCGGCTTGTCTGCCTGCCAGACTGGTGGAACGACAGCACGAGACATTTTAGTCAAGTTTGCTTCCAGTACAGAGTAAAAGGCCAGTAGGTACCTCTGCTACTACTGAAGGATCGAGGAGTCGCAGAGACGATAATTGGGTGGGTAGTGCAGTAGCAAAGAAGGGGTAGTGTGAAGCGACCCCTGTGCACGTTCACCCTTCCTTCAAGTGAGTGCAACCCTGCAGGCGATGGAGGGGATGTAATCCTGAGATCAGATCTCAAGATGTTGGGCACGGAATAGTTTGGAAAGTCGTCTGAAGATTCACCCTTCTACTATACGTTGAGGTATTGCAACGTTTCAGAATCACTTGATACCACACGCAGCGACTTGCTTACTGTTTTAATTTTTTTTAGCACGGTTCTCTTTTAACCCCCTATCATAACCGTTATGGGTTGTGCTCCCATGTGACCGATGATTCTACGACTGGATCGAAGGGCATTGATTGCTTCCAGGTAGTAAAGCATCTATTGGCTGTTGATGCCTGGTTGATGCCCCCATTATCTGAGCCCGCCCCATTGTCTTTTTTTGCGGATATGTCGTCTCCTTTTTTAACGATCTCGAGATCAGTTCTGGTCCTGGCAGTAACAAATCATTAAAAGAAGTTTTATGTCAGCACCGACCGTGATATCTATTCTTAGTGCCTTTTTTAAATACATATAGTCACTTGCGCTGAGAAGAAAGCGCAGAGGCCAATTTGGATCTTGTATGGGTCCTCTTGTACCACCCACTGGCTTCGTTTGTACAACCTTTTTTTGTTTTGATGCCCCTTTGGGAGATACCCCTTACATACGTCACGTGGGTTTGTTGTTGTATAATTATAATGTTTTTAGAGTGAAGGAGTGGGTTCGGTGACGTGACGGAGTCGGCTAGCCTCGCAGAAGTACCTGAAATCTGGAGATAATGGTACACTTTGCACCAAGAATAGAACTTTTCAAGTATATTTCTGAGAGGTTCGTCTCCTCTGCCGTCTGGAAGGCACCCCACCCATCTCTCGTCTGGAACAAGGGTCAAGACTACCGGTACCTCTTGCTCCCTCCGCCTCGCCCCTGCAGTGCGAATGCCTAAGTAGTAGAAGAACGATGGCGGTGGCAGCAAATGTTACTCTCTTTGCATTATTTTGTTGATATATTTTTTTCAAGAAGATATACTTCCTGTTTGCATTCTTGCGATGACGAGTGGGCATGTGTTGGTTTCAATTTTGATGTGACGATTCCTTTGCTCATTTCACCGTGCCAACTAGTGAGTACAAAGAAACCAATGCAGTGAAAACATTCTTTGTACTCGCATTAATGAATGAAGGCTGATGTGAGTAGCAGGCTTTACTACCTCCGCCCATTGCCCTGCATCCACTGGACCACAAGGCAGGAAATCTGACGTGAGATTATTTCGACAGTGATATCTCAGGCCGAGGAAGGGGTTTTTCACTTTGATCGGAGTATTTTCTTTGCCTCGGGCTAGCCTGAGCTCCTCTTGATTGAGGATGGACCAGTCTTGGGCTAGGCAGCTTGCTGCAGCGCAAGCAGGCGCAGGAAACCCCTCCATGGCAATGAATCAATCGACATTGGGCGGTGGGTCACCATATGCAAGCACAAGCCTTGCTGGGGGCATTATGGGCGGCTTCAACACGCCATTCTCAGCCGGGTTGTCTTCAAACGTCGGCATGCAGAATGCTTCTCCTTTCCAGCAACAGCTCTTCCAGAGCGCGGCTTCGCCCTCGAACCCGAACTCTCAGCAACAGGCCCAGCCGCAGATGCAACAGGTTGGGCAGCAGCAGCAGCAGCTGCTGCAACAACAGCAGGGCCAAGATGCATCCGATATGGTAAGTATGCTAGCTCGCGCTTGCGCCTCTTGCTCCTTCTCCTGAAATGTGAGCAGATGTCTCAATTGAGGCAGCTCAACCCCAACGACCTTGCCTCCTTGCTTGGCTCGGGAGGGATAAATCTGTAAGTTTACATGTCCTCATCTGTTGTTCTGATTTCTCGCATGTTTGAAATTCTGTTGTTGCATTCTGGTTTCTTCTTGATCCTTGTTCTTTCCCCCTTGTTTGGTCTTTTCTTGGCCGGCCTCGCTGACTTTGCTTCTGCTGCTCGGGTGACGATAGGGCTATGTCGGGTGCCTTCAGCACGGGTGAGTCAGCTAAAGGCACGCATGGTTGATGTCTTATCTGATGTATAGGATTACAAGGGCTGCAGACTAGCATGCAGG